TGGGTCGGTCGGGAGCTTCTGGTAGTGGACAGGTGCAGCTGCCGTGTCCTCTTTCGCCCCAGCAGCTTCGTGCGTGGTACGCTAGTTGGGGCTGTCGGGGTGGCCGTAGTGGTAGTCGCTCTGGAGTGGGTCGGTTGGGAGCTTCTGGTAGTGGACAGGTGCAGCTGCCGTGTCCTCTCTCGCCCCAGCAGCTTCGTGAGTGGTACGCCAGTTGGGGCTGTCGGGGTGGCCGTAGTGGCAGTTGCTCTGGAGTGCGTCGTTCGGGAGCTTCTGGAAGTGGACAGGTGCAGCTGCCGTGTCCTGTGAGTGAGGCTGCCGCTCTAGGTGCTAGTGCGTCTGTTGCCCTAGGTGCTGGTGAGGCTACCACTCCCGGTACTCGCGTGTCTGCTACCCCAGGTGCTGGTGAGGCTGCTGCTCTAGGTGCTCGTGAGTCTGCGCCCCCTGGTACTGAGTCGACTGAGGCACTGCACACCTTCACTCTGGACTCTGGTGCTTCTCGCTGTTTCTTTCGTGACCGCACTGCCCTTGAGCCGCTTGCTCGGCCAGTTGCTGTCTCCCTCGCTGACCCCTCTGGGGGTCCGGTCATTGCGACCTCCTCCACTGTCCTTCCTTGTCCTGCGGTCCCGTCGGGCACACTGTCAGGTCTCCACCTCCCCTCGTTCTCTACGAACTTGGTGGCGGGTTGTGCGCTCCAGGACGGGGGTGTTCACCAGTTCACCCCTGCCTACGAGCGCGTGACACACTGCACGTGTGCTCGGACGGGCCGTCACCTGGCTACCTTCACTCGGCAGCCGGGGTCGGACCTGTACACACTGACCACTGAGTCCCCTCAGGTAGCTGCGTCTGCGTTTGTGTCAGGTCAGCTGTCGGCCCCCTTCTCGTGTCGCTCTCTGGCGCACGAGACCGTCCTCTGGCACCACCGACTTGGTCACCCGTCCGTGCAGCGCCTTCGTGCCATGCACAAACGGTACCTTGTCTCTGGTCTTCCCAGGGTTCTCCCTCCCCTCCCACCCTCGCCTGCTCCTCCCTGTCTTCCCTGTGTCGAGGGACGGCAGCGCGCCGCTCCTCACTCCTCCTCGTTTCCCCCGACGACTGCTCCCTTGCAGACGCTCCACATGGACGTGTGGGGCCCAGCCCGCGTCCGTGGTCAGGGTCAGGAGAGGTACTTCCTGATATTTGTTGACGACTACTCGCGCTACACCACGGTCTTCCCCTTGCGCTCCAAGGGTGAGGTCCCTGATGTTTCAATCCCTTGGATCAGCGCTTCTCGTCTCCAGCTCAGCGAGCGTTTCAACTCGGACTTTCCTGTCCTGCGCTTGCACTCTGACAGAGGTGGTGAGTTCTCCTCCGACCTCTTGGTAGCCTACTGTGCGGAGCACGGCATCCGCCAGTCGTTCATGCTTCCGGCCTCTCCACAGCAGAATGGGGTTGCTGAGCGCCGCATTGGCTTGGTCATGGAGGTCGCTCGTACCTCCTTGATCCATGCGGCTGCCCCCTACTTTCTGTGGCCGTTTGCAGTCCGATACGCTGCGCATCAGCTCAACCTCTGGCCCCGTGTCTCCGTTCCGGAGACTTCGCCGACACTGCGTTGGACAGGAGAGGTTGGCAATGCGTCACGCTTTCGGGTCTGGGGATCTCGAGCCTTTGTTCGCGATACGTCCGCGGACAAGCTCTCCTCCCGCGCTGTTCCTTGTGTCTTCCTTGGCTTTGTCCCGGACGCGTCTGGTTGGCAGTTTTACCACCCCACCTCGCGCCGTGTCCTGCCTTCTCAGGACGTCACTTTCGACGAGTCCGTCCCCTACTACCGCCTCTTCCCCTGCCGCACTGCCCCGCTTCCCCCCCCGCCTCTCTTCCTCGCGCCAGGTGCTGCTGTGGTAGACCCCCTCCCCCCTCAGGGTGCCGCTCCCTCAGGTGTGTCCCAGGTAGACCCGGTTGAGCCTGTCGAGGTAGCTGTCGACTCTCGTCCTGCTAGGGGTGCTGAGCCTGAGGGTGCTGAGCCTGAGCGTGCGGAGCCTGGGGGTGCGGAGCCTGGGGGTGCGGAGCCTGGGGTTGCGGAGTCTGGGGGTGCGGAGCCTGGGGGTGCTGAGTCTGGAGGTGCTGAGCCTGGGAGTGCTACACCTGGAGGAGCTCTCTCCTCACAGCAGCTGCGTGAGTGGTACTTACAGTACTGCAGCCTCAGGAGAGGTGCTTCTGGAGCCAGGAGTACTGCTGGAGCTGGTGCTAGTGCTTCCCCTCCTAGGCGGGAGCTGCCCTCTTCCCAGCGGCTCCGAGAGTGGTACGCACGGCGCTGCAGTCTTCGGAGTGGCGCTCCTAGTGTCGCGGACCCAGCTGCTGGAGGTTCTGCTGCTGGCGGTGCTTCTGGCGCTGCTAGAGGTACTGCTGGTGCTGGAGCTGCTGGTGCTGCTGACGCTACTGGAGGTGCTGCTGGTGCTGGTGGTACTGCTGGTGCTGCTGGAGCAGCTGGAGGTGCTGCTGGTGCTGGGGCTGCTGGAGCTGCTGGAGGTGCTGCTTCTTCTGGAGGTGCGGCTGGTGCTGCGGACCCGGGCGTTGGAGTTGCTGCTGGTGCTGCGGACCCTGGAGTCGGAGCTGCTGCTGGTGCTGAGGACCCTGGAGGTGGAGCTGCTGCTGGTGCTGAGGACCCTGGCGCTGGTGTCTCTGCTGGTTCTGGAGACGTTGCGCGGCCGCGGCCGTACTTCATTCCGCTCCTTCAGTAGGTTCTTGGTCAGCCTCCTCCTCCTTGTCCTCCTCCCTCCTTAGAGTGTCCTCCGTCTGTCCAGTCGCAGTCACAGTTACCGTCTGACTCCCCTCTCCCTGGTCCTTCTCCTTACACTGGTCCGACTGGAGGTCTTACGGAGCGTCGTGAGCCTGAGTCTCGTCCTGCGTCGCCTGAGTCTCGTCGAGCGTCGCCTGTTCGTGCTGCTCACACTGGTCGTCGTGTCCCGCGTCAGCGTCCTCCTGCTGTCCCAGGCACTCACCAGATGGCGCTTCGTCCTTCCACTGCTCCCCAGCGTGTCCCTCTCCCGTCTCCTCCTGCGTCCTCTCTTCCTGCTCTTGCTGACCCTGAGTCTGACTCCCTTCGTGCTGCCAGTCCTACTGTCACGCGTCTCCTAGCTACTGTTGTCACTGACCCTTCCTTTGAGTCCACTGCTGCGTCTGCCTTAGTTGCCGAGCTTGTCGACTTTGCTGCCACTTGTCGTCTAGACTACGCCGCTATCCTAGTTGCTGAGTCTGAGTCTGTCTGTCCTCCGTCCGTCGGGGGTGAGTGTGCTCTTGGCACGGACGTCCTTGAGGACAGGCAGGAGGAGTTTGAGTGCTTTGCCGCTGCTCTACCTCATCTCGTGTCCATGCTAGTTGCCCCTGAGGGAGACCCGGATGCACCAGACATCCCGACTCCGCGCTCTTACGCAGAGGCGATAGAGGGTCCCTACTCCTCTCAGTGGCAGACAGCCATGGACGCACAGATGGCTTCCTGGAAGTCCACAGGCACCTACGTCGACGAGGTTCCCCCACCTGGGGCGAACATCGTCAGTGGCATGTGGATTCTCAGGGTGAAGCGGCCGCCGGGTTCTCCGCCTGTCTTCAAGGCGCATTACGTTGCACGAGGCTTCATTCAGCGAGAGGGAGTTGACTTCTTCCAGACCTTCTCCCCGACCCCGAAGATGACCACTCTTCCGGTTCTGCTGCACGTCGCCGCTCAGCGTGACTACGAGCTCCACTCTCTTGACTTCAGCACTGCTTTCCTACAGGGCAGCCTGCACAAGGAGATCTGGCTGCGCCGCCCACCTGGCTTTACTGGGTCGTTCCCTCCTGGTACCCAGTGGAGCCTCCGGCGGCCAGTCTACGGTCTCCGACAGGCGCCACGTGAGTGGCACGACACACTGAGGACTACACTTGCGGCTCTTGGGTTCGCTCCTTCTACTGCTGACCCGTCGCTGTTTCTACGCACCGACACCTCGCTGCCGCCGTTCTACATCCTCCTGTACGTCGACGACTTGGTCTTTGCCACTGCTGACACTGCGGCACTCGCCCACGTGAAGTCAGAGCTGCAGAAGAGACACACGTGCACAGACCTGGGTGAACTGACAAGCTATCTTGGCTTGCGGATCACCCGGGACAGAGCACGGCACACCATCACCTTGACGCAGTCACACATGGTGCAGCAGGTCCTTCAGCGCTTCCGCTTCACGTACTCCTCGCCTCAGCCCACTCCTCTGCCTACCGGTCACTCGCTCTCAGCTCTGCCTTCGGATGAGTCCGTAGAGCTGAGTGGCCCGTATCCAGAGCTTGTGGGCTGCCTCATGTACCTGATGACCTGCACTCGACCTGACCTTGCATACCCTCTTAGCATCCTTGCACGCTATGTCGCTCCTGGCCGTCACCGGAAGGAGCACATGGATGCCGCTAAGAGGGTGTTGCGCTACTTGTGCAGTACGTCGGGCATGGGGCTAGTGCTTGGAGGACGAGACCGAGTTGTACTCACTGGGCACTCAGACGCGTCTTGGGCTGACGACCAGGCTACTCAGCAGTCGTCTCAGGGTTACACCTTCAGCCTTGGCTCTGGTTCAGTTTCTTGGCGTTCTACACGCTCGTCTTCTGTTCTCAGCTCCAGTTGTGAGGCTGAGATCTACGCCACAGCCATGGCTGCACAGGAGTTACGCTGGCTCACCTACCTGCTGACCGACTTGGGAGAGTGGCCTCGTTCTCCTCCAGTGCTGTACGTCGACAACAAGGCTGCCATTGCCTTGTGTGAGGAGCACAGACTGGAGCACAGAACGAAGCATATCGCTCTGCGCTACTTCCTTGCTCGAGAGCTGCAGCAGCGCGGTCAGCTTCGTCTGCGTTACGTGGCCACTCGGGCCAACACTGCTGATGTGTTCACAAAGGCGCTTCAGCCTTGTGACCATCAGCGCTTCTGTACTGTTCGCGGCGCGGCCGACTTCACGTCAAAGGCAATTCTTGACGCTGCGATGAGCATTGACTGGAACAAACGTATCGCCGCAATGAACGGCGAACAACGCGGCGGGATTCGCGGCTCTGCCGACGCGGTTGCAGCTCCTACGGGGCCCGCGGCTGCAGCGGCGGCGGAAGCAGAAAACTCCGAGCTACTACCATCACTGACAGAGGAGGTGGAAGGAGAGGTGCTGTTTGCGTTTATCGAGGAGGCTTTCGCTCTTGCGGGAGCATTCAACATCGCGGATTACGTGCCGTGGCTGAGCTATTGCGGGGACCACTTCCGCATGTACGCGCGCGCACAGCGCCTCGCACCGCAGCTGCGCGGATTCATGCGCGCGTGCATCGAGGAGCGACGCCAACTCATGCTGGAAAAGCGTACTGAAGGGAGCCAAGCCAGGCAAGGCAGGCTAGGGATGGAGAAGGGGGCTGCGCTAGCAATGGATGGGGCTGCGGGTGAGCAGGTGAAGGCGCGGACGGCATCTAAAACCACTCTTGTTGACACGTTGTTGGAGATGGAAGGGGACGGGGAGGAGCAGGTGGACGAGGACGATATGCTCATGCTCGCTCTCGACCTCATGCTCGCCGGCACCGATACCACCGCCAAGACCGTCGAATGGGCACTTGCTGAGCTGGCGCAGCACCCGAACATGCTGGAAAGGCTCCGCGATGAGGTGGATGTGGCGTATGCCAAGTCAACAAGCGTGGCCGCCGAAACTGGGGCGCCCGTAGGACGACGAGGAGGAGGAGGTGATATGGTGGTGTCCCTTGCGGTGCAGGAGATGCCGTATCTGCAGGCTGTGTTGAAAGAATCCTTCAGGCATCACCCGGACGCTCCACTCTTCTTTCCGCGCCTGACAAGTGGCAGAGTAACCCTAGGGGGTTACAGCATTCTTCCCAATACCATGATCAATATCAACAACTGGGCTCTCGGGCACGATCCAACAGTCTGGATTAACCCGCACAATTTCGACCCCTCCAGGTTCCTAAAACCTGATGCCCCTGACGTGACCGGGCAAAATTTCAGCCTGCTGCCATTTGGTTCAGGCAGGCGTGGGTGCCTTGGGACGAGCCTGGGATTGGACCTGTCTGCCCGCCTGCTGGCGAATTTCGTTCGGCGGTTTGATTTTGAGGCGCCCCAAGAGGTCAGGGCAGGTGGAGGGCTAGACATGAGGGAGTCGTTGGGGATGTCGATGGTTCTGGCAACGCCTCTCAGGATTGTAGTGAGGGAGAGACGGAAGTGCGGGGGGTAGCGGTGGCAACTGCAGATGCGTGAGCTGCAAGGGGTGCTGGTAAGGGGCTGAGCTGGTGACGAGGTTACTCTGCGACCGTTTTACACACACGGGGTAAACTATGTTGTGGAGAGGAGGGCTGGAAGGGAGGAGATGGGCGGGGGTGCTACTGGCACTGCTGGCGGCCGGTGGTGCTACTGGCACTGCTGGCAGCTGGTGATGCTACTGGCACTGCTGGCAGCTGGTGGTGCTACTGGCACTGCTGGCAGCTGGTGATGTTACTGGCACTGCTGGCAGCTGGTGGTGTTACTGGCACTGCTGGCTGCTGGTGGTGCTACTGGCACTGCTGGCGGCTGGTGGTGTGGGCTGCTGGGTGGCTGGTGCTGCTGCTGTGTGCGGAATGATGTCACTAGGAGGAGGTGGTGCTACTGGCACTGCTGGCGGCTGGTGATGCAACTGGCAGGCACGGGCAGTAGAGGCGGGCTGGCCGAGGCAGGCACGGGCAGCAGTGGCTGTGGGCGACTGGGAGGGGGCTATGGGCGGCTAGGAGAGGCTGTGGGCGGCTATATCTGCTGCTGGTGAATAGCTCTACTGGTGGCTAGCTCTACTGGTGGCTAGCTCTACTGGTGACTAGCTCTGCTGGTGGCTAGCTCTACTGGTGACACCGCTCCTAGCCACCGGCTTCTAGCCTACACTTTCTACCGTCATCGCCTGGATATAAGACATATATGTCTTATCTCGTACACTAGAAAAAATGCTTGGGTTATCTTGTATTTGGGGAGGTTTTGGGTGTCTTATACATCTTATAAATGGAAACTTTTTAAACTACTTCGATTTTTTTTCACACATCTTGAATGTTGGGCTGAGAAAAAGCCCTTAGGATCTTTTTCACGGCTAAGACTCTGAGTAGGAATGTTGTAATTGCGGAAGCCAGGGCTGATTTTATCAGGGTAATTACCCTGATTTCAGGGTGATTTCAGGCTTTCCACTTCGTGGAGACTGAAATTTCAGAGTTATTGAATTTCCAGCCCTGATCCAATCAGAGTAATAGTTCAGCTATCCCTGATTTTGAGTACAGTGTAACAGACTAGGCTGTTAGTGGACCCTGACTTAACAGAGTATCGACTGTGTGGACCCTGACTTATCGAGAGGAAGTTTCTCGGAAGTTTCCTTCCGATGACCCCGCCTTGGATTGATCGCAGTGATCCCCCCACATGTGCGTAATCCCCCCCCTTCCCGCTTTATCGAGACGAAGTTTCTTCGAAACTTCGTTCTGATACACCTACCACCGAGATCGCGTGAATCTGCAATGTCAGATATACTTTGCTGGGATTGGTCGAAATAGGCTCTGACAGCGGAAATCTGTCAGATATACTTTGCTGGGATTGGTCGAAATAGGCTCTGTCAGCGGAAATAGGCTCTGACAGCGAAAATCTGTCAGATATGTCAGAATGTTATAATTGTCTAGCCTGCAGTGGGGTACTCTATAGTGAGTACAGCCCAATTAGGGTTTGCTATATGTATCCAACTACTTGCTAGTGAACCCCCTCCTTTCTTCATTCTTACTTTCTACTGCTAATTCTGACATGCTATCAGAGCAGGTCGATCCCCTTGGGTCGATCCTGTGGGTGGGCCCACCACCTCACTGCTTCCGCTGCTACTGCTACTCTGTGTGTTGCACGCCCCGTGGCGTGCGACGGATTTTTCATCCCGCCGCGCGCTCGGAGCGTGCGGCGGTTTTCTGCCCGCCGTGCGCCCCGAGGCGCGCGGCGGTTTTCTGCCCGCCGTGCGCCCCGAGGCGCACGGCGGTTTTCTGCCCGCCGTGCGCCCCGAGGCGCGCGGCGGTTTTCTGCCCGCCGTGCGCCCCGAGGCGCGCGGCGGCTTTCTGCCCCGTCACTCCGCGCGTCGCTCCCGGGAGGCGCTGCGACGGGCGACGGGGACCCGCGCGTCGCCCCCCGTCGCCCGTCGCGGCCTGCGCGACCTGCGTAGGGCCCGCGCGCGGCCCGTACAGCCTGCGCGCGGCCCGTACGGGCTGCGCCAGGCCCGCGCGCGGCCCGTACGGGCTGCGCCAGGCCCGCGCGCGGCCCGTACGGGCAGCGCCAGGCCCGCGCGCGGCCCGTACGGACTGCGCCAGGCCAGGGCGCGCCTCGGGCCGCCCGCACGCGGTTCGTACGGGCTGCGCCAGGCCCGTGGGCGCCCTGTTTTCTCTGCCCCTGCGCTGCCCGCTGTCCCCCGTGCTTCTGACGGCGCCCCACCCCTGCTGCTGCCCGTTCTCCTGAATTAGGGTTTGGGGGTGGGGGGTATGGGGGTGCAGTTTCTGTGCGTCGTCCCCTGCTCCTCCTCCTCCGTCTCCCAGTGCTGCAGCTGCCGCTGAGGGGGGTGGGTGTGTGGGAGCCGAAGGAGTGGTACTAGGGGGGTGACGTGCAAGTGGAGTTAGGAGTGAAGCAGTGGGTGTGTGGGGGGTGTGTGGGGGGTGTGTGGGACAGTTGGAGGAGGTTGAGCGGAGGCTGCTGTCTTGTCGTCCGCAGCACCTGTAATCCGGGGCGCACTGTCCTGGTAGCCCAGAGAGCCTGCTGCGCCTGTCGCCCGAGGGTCCGTTGCTCCTGTAGCTCCTCGTAGCCCGTGAGCCAGTTACTCCAGTAGTCCGGGGCGCACTGTCCCGGTAGCCACTGTGCCAGCAGCTCCTGTTGCCCGTGTGTCTGCAGCTTCAGCCGCCGTCTCTCATCTTCTCTCCTCTCACAGTCCCTCCTCCTCCTCACTTGCCCGCTGTGACTACCACTAGCTTTGCTTATAATTGTGAACTATTACTATGCTTGCTTGTTGTGCTGATTACACCCCACTTTGGCTATGGGGGTGTGTCAGAATGTTATAATTGTCTAGCCTGCAGTGGGGTACTCTATAGTGAGTACAGCCCAATTAGGGTTTGCTATATGTATCCAACTGCTTGCTAGTGAACCCCCTCCTTTCTTCATTCTTACTTTCTACTGCTAATTCTGACAAGATATACACAGCGCGCAGACTTTATGGAGAGTGGGGATATTTTCCCCGGTAACAAAGCGCGCGTTACTACTCTGATGTTCAGTTCTCGACCCTGAACAATCAGTGTTAACTACTTTACAACCCTGAGCAATCAGGGTACTGCTTTTCTGGAAAATGTGCACCCATAATAGAGGGGGAAAATTTTCCCCGGAATCAGGGAAGCTTAAAATGAAACGTCAGCCCTGGCGGAAGCGTATGATAAGATTACTGAACCACCTTGCACTAGTATGTGAGAGCAAGATAAATTGATTAAAGCAAAGAGATACAAGTATATATATATGATTACAAGGAATACGAAGACATGCGATTAACTGGTTTTGCTGTTGCGGTTCGATACAGTAACGACTCGGGCAACTGCTCAATACCGAGTCAGTTGTTTGTCCTTGCTGTCGCGCTGTATTTTCGTCGAGTCAAAGGTCGCTGACCTTATACCTTCGCGTAACCTCCAACTGTTACGTTTGTTGACTCGCATGTTGCTTCACTGTAGTCTGCTTCGTTTCGTGCTATTACTTCGATACTTCAGAAGCGTTAAATTGCTTGTTTCCAACACTCCCCTTCGCTTCTGGAGTGTCGCTGCTGATGACATGGCCTTGTCTAGTCAACAGCATGCAATACTCGAACTTCTGCTTTCCGAGTTTCTTGGCCAAGTAATCGGCTGCCATCTCGGATGTGGGACAGCAGGATAACTCAAGTCTTCCCTTCTCGATTTCATCTTTTACAAAGAAGTACCGGAGGGCGATGTGCTTTGTTCGATTCGCGAACCCATTTTTGTTCGCTATGCGAATGGCCGATTGGTTGTCGCAGAAGAGGGAGAAGCTAGGTAACTGAGCCATTTTTGCTTCTTCCAGCAGTTCGCGAAGGTATAATCCTTCCTTGGTGGCTGAGCAGGGTGCGATGTATTCTGCTTCAGCTGAGGAGAGAGCGATTAGCTCTTGCTTGTTCGACTGCCATGAAATGGGGCCGATAGGTTCGAGTCGGTAGATGTAGCCAGTACGAGATCGCTTGTTGTCAGAGTCTCCGACGTGATCGGCGTCGACGTAGCCGATTAATTTAGGTGTCGTAGTTCCGGTCTTGTGGTAGGTTAGGCAGATCGTCAGGGTGCTGACGAGGTAGTGAAGTGCACGGTCGAGTTCCGTCATGTGATCTGCTTCAGGCTTCTTGAGATAGGTGGCGAATTGACTAGCTGAGTAAGATAGGTCCGGTCGGCAGGTAACGGCTGCGAAGAGTAGACAGCCTAGCTTTCGTTGGTAGTCGCGAATGCCGGCGGGTTTGAGTAGGGCGGAGACTTCCTTGCGATTTCCGTCGGTGTAACGATATGGCGTGGTGATGGCAGCTGGAGTTAGTCCGAAGCGTTTGGCGATGGTGTCAGTGTATTTTGCGGCACTGAGGTAGATTGCGTTTTCCCCGTCTTTTATGTTGAGTCCCAGGTACTGTGTCACGGTAGACGAGACGGTGAGCATGAGATCCCGCTGTAGCTCCCCTTCAAACCAAGTTGTTATGCCGTCAGTGGAGCCTATGTAGAGGAGATCGTCTACGTAGACAATGAGCAGGATGTAGTCGGTCCCCTTAGTGAGTCGGTACATTCCTTGGTCATGCGGTAGTTGGCAGAATCCGATGCGGATTAGTCGGGCGTGAAGATGCTGCTGCCACAGTCTCGGGGCTTGTTTGATGTCGTACAGTGACTTTTGCAGCTGACAGACTTGGTTAGGGTCTGCGTTAGATCCGTGTGGATGTTCGACAAAGATCTCAGCGTCGACAGGGGTGTAGAGGAAGGCGTTGGCAACGTCGATTTGGCGGAGTTTCTTCCAGTTCATGGCGACTATCGCGAGGAGGATTCGAAGAGAGGTATGTCTGTTAACTGGTGCGAATGTTTCGGTGAAGTCTCGTCCGTGCTCTTGGTCGAAGCCGCGCACAACCCAGCGTGCCTTGAATTTGTCGATCGTTCCGCCAGCTTTCGTTTTCACGCGGAAAACCCATTTTCCCGTGAGAATGGTCTTGTTGCGTGCCACTCCGATAGGCACGACTTTCCAGGTGTTGCATTCTTGCAGCGCCTTTAATTCTCTGTCCATGGCTTCGTGCCATTTTTCCCTGTGTCCCCCCGCCAGAGCCTGCTGAATAGTGGAAGGCTCCTTAGGTGGTGCTGCTCCGTGGACACCGGTGACGAGTCCCAGTATCTGCAGTCCACTTTGTGTGTAGCGGGGGAGATTTGCGTCCTCGGGATAAGCAGCTTCATCTCCCGCTTCTGGATCGGGTAGGAAGATGGGCCCTATGCGTTCGGAGACGTTGGTGGTGACCGGTTTGGGTGTAACGTAACCGTTGTCGGTCGAAGTCGTAGTAGACATCGGCGTTGACACTTTTGCAAGGATTGTTGTCGTCCATGGGAATGTCCACTGAGCAGTACGGAAGAGGTCCTGCTTCCTCCGAAGCTCCGTCCACG